GAGAGATGGCCAGCTGTGATTAGCGTAGGCGGGGAACATGGTGAAGACAAATCATGCTGCGATGGCACGAACTGGTAATTAGACAGGAGCGCTGTGATGGGGGGCAGCCCAAACGTGCTTTGACGCAGAGTTGCGTTGAGCACACCGTGTAGGGCAGGGTTTGGCGAGTCAAGGAGGCCTAGCGGTGCTGGGATGTGCGTAGTAGAGTTTGGGAAGGCTGCGCTGACGGCTGCAGCACGCAGGAGAAGGTGCCGAGCCCAAACACAAAGCTGTAAACTCTGATAACGTGGGGTGCATAAGATGTCATTTCAGATCACGATGACCTTGGTGCGAGTCGCGGCCGGTCAAATATTGCCGACGTGTGCGGAAGTGCGCTTCCCCGAGTGGTAAACCTTGTACGGTATATACGATGAGGATGCGACAAGACGACGGCGCATGTAGTAGTCTTGGTTCAAGACAGTGGAATGTGCAAGAGAGACAGAGTTTAGTGACGCTGAGGAGAATTGATGCCGCAACTGTGCCGCACAGCATGGGCAATGACTAAATGCGGCTCCAAACGCGGCGGCCGTGGTCGGTAGCCGACGGTTTGATGGAACAGAGTGCGAGAGCGAAAGGTAATTTGATCGGATTGGGTGGTGGGGAGAGACGGTCCCAGGCGTGCGGGTGGGCGTCGTCGGTTAGAGGACCAGGACATCCGTCCCAGGGCTGGGCCGTGACGGGGAAGGGGCACACTGTTTGCGCTAGTCGAGTCGGTGCGCTGATTAGACTTTGCAGCCCGCGAGTGACGAAGCCAAGAATGTGGAGCCACGGGCACTCCGAACGCCTGAGACGCTTGTGCTGAGATCTGTAAAGTCGAACGGGCGAGATCTTAGCGCGGCCACACTGGCGGAGGTGACCGCCGCGACGTTGATGATCTGGACTGGTGTTTGGTCGACACGGCCGGTGAGGTGCAGGGCAGGTCTGGCGTCGCTGGTCACGCGGCGACGCACCAAGTACCGTGGGATCACAGCAGCCGGCGTCATCTAGCTGGCACTTGGGCGGAGATTGAGCTGGCAAGGCTGAGATGATGACGATGGGGTGGGGTTGAAGGGTACCGTACGCACGTATAGCGCGTTGGTTAGATCAGCGAAGCGTGCAGAACCGGTAGAGAGGGTAATTTGCAGCTGGGGCGCTGGGATAGCCATGCCAGACGGCGATCCCGGCGGCTGCTTAGGTGCTGTCGACGCATGGCTTTCTGCAATGGGCCTAGGGTGCGTGTCGTAAGTGAGGAGTGAATGCCGCATGTTTCTACTCGAGAGCGCTGCCATGTGCGATGCAAGCGCAATAGGAAGGCACCACCGGTCAGCTTCAGATCGCGACTGCCCTTCGCGGAGGCCTCGCTTACGGCCTGGGGTGATTGGGCAGGCGCGCCATGGATGCCACGAAAATGCCCACCCCGTCACTTGGGACAAAACACGCTGAGATGAAAGGGAGCGCGCCGATGCAATGTGACGGGTTTCCTTCTGCTTCCTTCTGCACCTTCTGTCGCGCAGCAGCTGTCAGCCGTCGGCATCCTGGCTCCATCGGAAGCAGACACATGGCCAGGGCTGTCCACGTTGTGACGCCTACCGCGACCCGAGACGGGGAGAAGCAGCAAGCCACCGAACCAGCCTCTCGCAGTTCGCTGCGGGCGCTGAGGGCGCTGAAGGAGCCGGCCATCGGCTGCGGCTACGAGATCTCTGCTGGGCCTTGGCCCTGCACCGCAGCGCAACGGGCATGGCTTCGCAGCGGCTGCCCCAAAACAATGGTCTGTGGCATCAGCCCAACTACCACACGGCCTGGCGTGCAGACAACCGAGAGCCCGATCGACCGCGGAGTCGTCCCCAGTTCCTTGTAGCCATGTCATTCCGCCACTCCGCCAACTGGCGAAACCAGGCCGCTGGGAAAGGCTTCGACGACACAGCATCCGCCAGCTGCATCGTCGACGCCTCGCGAGTGCTTCCACGATGCGTTTCCATCGTGCAGCAGCTGTCACGCGAAGCCGCCGGCGCCTTGTGCTTCCGCAGAGGCTGGAGGCTGGACGCCGCTGCCTGCGACACACGCTGCAGCGACGGAGATTCCAAGACCCAAAAGACGGCACCAGACGCGCGCAAAATGGACCGAATATGCACTTCCACGTGGAGATCCACCCATCTAGGCAGAATGTACGACGACGGTGCGCCGGGTCTGGCGTCAGAGAGATTGAGTTGAGCAGGGTATCGAATGCTCTGCTTATTGCACCATGCCTGTTCAGATGCACACGTGCCGCAGGCAATATACCAGCACGTCTAATTTTAGCCCGACAGTTCACCCTTCAGTGGCCCATGATTACACATTTCGGGGCCAACAGCAGCCTCCCGGAATGACGCCTTGACTGTCTTGATATTGCTCCGCAACTGGTCAACCGCGCCATGACCGCCTACAGGGAACGGGTGCCAGGTCGATCCGACACTCGAGCACACCTCCCACTTTTCTTTCATCCCGCCGTCGAAACACGCCCGCTTAAGCGCACGGTAGTCCATCGCTTCATCATGTGCTGCTCGCAGTCATGCTCCATCTCGGCTAGCGCTAGCCCGCTCGTTCAGAGCGCCATGTCGTCAGCTAACTCGCGGAGCGGTTGGAGCACGGTCGCAACCTAGGTCGCCGAACTGGAATCCCTGCAGGGATAAGCACTTCCCAGCTGGCCTCTTGTCTGTTTCTCGCGAGACCATGATTGACGCTGAATGCAGCGTGATGAGGTCTGCGACGGAAGCGCTCATGTCCTACCTGCTGGATAGCGCTTCTGCTACCCACCGACCGGACTACCTCTGCGATCAGCGCTGCTAGTAACGGCGATTGGCCTCCAGCAACGGCGAGCTTGGGCAAACCAGGTAAGGGTCGTCTTTGAATGTGCTTTGTCTCTGCCCCGGCACTGTTTGGGCCAGACCATGTCCGTGCGCCCACAGGCTCTCCCAGGTCCTGTTGGCGCCAGTCCTGACGCATGTTAGAGTGCCAGTAGCCTCCTAACCCTTGGTACTTGGGAAAGACAAAAGCATTTCGTCCTTTGCCCGTCTCTTGTCGTGCCGCGAGTCTGGGTCAGGGGAGCAGCCGCATGCCTACCCAATTTCTTCCTTTTGCGCCACTACTCGTCATAATGGACGAGGGTCGAAACAAGTGCCGGCACGGGGATGCTCCTCGTCGCCCATCAGCAAGTGTGATATGAGATAATCAGACGTCCTCAGAGCTCACGGGCCGGCGCAAGCGACTGCTCCTCCACTTTGCTGGTCCAAGCCGTCCCGCACGCCAGCAGACTCCGACAGATGGCCTGCGGACAGGGTCTGGCTACGGTGGGTGCTTTCACCCCCTGGCAATGCATTGTTGTGTGCGGCCCCATGCTCGACTAGTTTTCTAAACTGGACCTGAACGGTGTGGTTTTGTCATTCATTCGTCGCATTACTTCTGCCGTGCCTCGTTTGCGTTGCCTTATTGTGACAAAGTGCGTCTGTGGATAGCGCTCCCGCCCGCTCACCTGAGGCGTGCTCTCGAGCTAATTCTCATCTCCCATCCCGATCCAGATCCTCAAAACGCTTGGACGGACCCTATCGCCTGGTTGAGCCCTTGATATTCCTGAAGCCCCAGCGCGCCAGTCAGCCACGCGAGCCCACCTACCCTGACATCCTTAGCCCGCCATACATATACGTGAGGGCTACCGCTCTCCACCTACTCGCGGTAACAAAGCCTTTAGTCCACCCAGGTTCCAGCCATTCTCCGCCATCGCTCCTCTTAGGGCGCCAGGTCCCGAGCTTAACAAGGAGTGATCGCCGCTCCACACGCCTCAAACTCCACCACCAGCACCTCACAAGGCTCAACCTCCCCGCCATCAGTGGGTCGTATCGTCAACGCACAGCACCACATCTTGCAATACCGCTACCCAGCAACTTGGGTCGAGTAACGGCAGAACCACCACAGCCAATCTGGAGCATTACCATCAACGTCGGACCACAACACCAACACCGTCATTGCAGACGACTCAGCGTCTTTAGCCCCAAACGATCGTATACACATCCCGTGTAACAGCCTCAGTAGCACCACGTCTGCGCAACCAGGAATCCGGGCCCTACCGAACAGTCCGTGTTGAACAACACCACAGTTCCACGAGTATCTGCTTTTGATCTCTTGTACGCCCTCCTCTTACGGTCTGCGACGACGAGCACCACTAACACCGCGCAGTCACTGAGACTTTCTAGAGCACTTGCGGCCAGACGTGCGTTTTTCGGTATCACTGCCCGCCTGAACCAGCGCAGGTACCATTGCCAGAGCCGTTCGTTCGATTGCAGCATCTCAAAGGACGGAGCAGCCATTAGCCGTCTGACGCGACGAGAGATTAGACCCGGAGCACCGTCGCGAATCCACAGACCGAGCGGGTATTTGTGTACTGGGAGGATCTTTTACAAGATCCCTTTCCCTCCACTACCTGCATATCATCTGTACCTTGTCCCTCTCCACTAGAGCCCCTACCTCTCACATTACGCCTTTGAGCTACGAGCCGCTCGTTGCCCTCCGTGGATTCTCAGCCTTCACGTGGGTTGTATTGGTCTGGTGCTCAATACTCCCCACCATTTGCAGCGTCACAGCTGCAATCCCTACCAAGTCCTCCTTCATCTGAAGCAGGGAGGTCATCAGGACCTACCCGGGACACAACCGCCAACGTGGCTGCTGCCGTGGCTCATCCGTCTTCCATGCATCCTGGGTCTGACCCAATGGGTGTCCCTCCCAGCTTTGCAACGCGGAGGCCTCACGCCCAGCAACTGGGCAGCTTTGAGCTACCCCCACCACCCATGCACAAATATCCCTTCACCAACACCGTCACCACATCTCAGTCATCACAAGCTCCAACCACGATTGCCAGCGTTGGCAACCTTTTGACTCCGCCAAACACGCACCACAGTGATGTGACAGGCTCATCAGGAGTCTCTACAAGCAGCGCCCAGTACTCTACAGCAATGGCATACTCCAACGGGCAGCAGTACATCTACTCCCCGCCAGCGCAGGGATCGGCTGCGCACTACGGGTACCCGGCTGTACATCATCAACAGCAGAACCAATACGGCCAAGCCCGTGGAGGTATTTTTGCTCCACCGCGCAGCGATGGTCAGCTTGGACGACAAGACTCACTGGGCAAAGGGCTGAATCCGCCACCATATGAGATGAACCAGCAACTTCCACCTTTTACGCCTTCGTCCAACGGAGCGAGCATGCCCTCGATATCCACACAACAACACCACCAACAACATCAACATCAACAACCCCAGCATCAACATCAGCAACACCACCACCAACAGATGATGAGCGCACAAACACCAGTCTCTTCCTCGGCACCACAACAGTCGCCTGCCCTTAGCCAGGACTCCTTCAGGCCACCGCAACCACCGACCCCAACATATAGCTACCACACAGCCAGCACTCCTCAGCACTCCAACTTCCCCTATTCTACTGGCCCATCTCCCACATTAAGCCAGCAACAGAGCCCCATCAGTGCTGGTGGATCCATGCATCGAATGTCACCCGCCGTATCCCAAGGCTCCATCCCCTCGATACCCTCTAACAACCCGGCACAATCACCATACCAATACCAACAAAGGCCACCACTACAATACCCCGGTAGCCAAGCACCCGTCTTCTCCAACGTTCAGAACCCCAACGGTGGTCTGGCACTTGTCGGAGGCCATCCCGCGATGATGCCAGGTTTCAACAGCGGTCACGCAGCAGCTATGCCTCATTTCATGGGCCACCCGCAACACCAACAGCCCGCTGCCAACGACCGGCCATTCAAGTGCGACCAGTGCCCCCAGAGCTTCAACCGGAATCACGACCTGAAGAGGCATAAGAGGATTCATCTTGCTGTCAAGCCTTTCCCTTGCAACCACTGCGACAAGAGCTTCTCGCGGAAGGATGCGCTCAAGGTATATTTTGTCACTCTATCTAACAGCAACCGAAAGAATACTAACAAATCAATAGCGACACATACTCGTCAAGGGATGTGGAAAAGCCACCGCCGACGACAACACCAAACGCGAAACCCCGTCGCCCAAAATCGAGGACTCGAAGCACTGATCGCCGAACCGCCGCCGTCCATCGCCCTTCTCACTTGATGGAGAGTCCTCGGCCTCTCCTACTTTCACTTCTACTTCTGCTGTATTACTTATTCACCTCCTCCTATACGCTGTCCTATATCCCTCTCGCGCACGTCGCCTGCGCTAAAGGCATCGTTCCGGTTACGACTTATGCATGTTTTATCACGTCCGCTTATTTATTATTTCTGAACTGGACTACCCTGGGAAACGAACGAATGGAAAGGGGAGTTACGGGATATACTTCTTTGTTCGGGCGGATCGCGAATACCTTTTACTTGTTGTTTTATCGCGCTGTGTATGTATGAAGGTATATTTGCATTGGTCACGCGCGTTTCGGTTGTCGATGGTTGTATGTAGTTGGCACCGCATTGCTTCTGTTGTCGTTCGGGTTAGAGATGGGACAACGTTGCAGGAAACTGGTGGTCGGAAGCTTATGGTTCGGTCGGTGCGGACGCCTGCATGTGCCTTTCCAGGGTGGGAAGGGGGCTCTACGCCGACCTTGCTTACGGGTGTAATGATTCAGGGACGAAGTGGAACACCCGCTTTACACCGGGGGTTTTCTTTTTCGCTTCGCCTTTACGGAAGACTGCATTTGCGGTGCGGAGTCAAAACTGCGCGCACTGCATTGCTACCAGCAAAAATACCACATCATGACTTATCTGAAATCCTCTCACACATGCATTACTACGCCGTGAACTCACTTTCATCCACATCGATCCAGTCCATCGACTTGATTCAACACCCCTGCGCAATATCCAGCGAACTTGCGGTGTGAATCGGGTGTGATGTGCTTCACTTTGTTCCCGTAGGTACAGGTAGTTAAGTGTGGCATCACTGGCATATATCATCTGCATTATGTTCCTGAAGGAGCGGTCGCGGCATTAAGGTTTTGATTCGTGCAAGGAACGCAAGACGGTTAAGTGCAGCGAAAAAGAGGTGCGAACCACATTGCCGGTACAAATGGTTCGGCAGGCTCCGGGGGCTGGGAGCGGCTTGGCACGGACGTCGATGTGGCAGACGCGTCTGCAAACCTTCAGGGTCTTCTTTACTTCACCTCATCGCGAGGCGGGACGCGCTTTCACCTTGTCAGGACACGCTTTCATCTCATCTCAGCTGCTATCGCATGTCGGATTCACTGCGCGATCAGCTCATGCAACGGGGTAACTTGATGTTCTACAGGTGATGCGTACCTACCTCACGCTCTTGTCAGGGACGCGTTACTCGCCTTCAGTATGAAGTCGCTTCGTCTGTATGCTTCAACCCTTACTATAGCTTCCCTCTTGCCACAGTTTCCTACTGTGATGTCTCCTGGCTTACTTATGTCCGAGGTAGGTTATAGGCCAGCTTTCTCGCTCACGAGCAAGACCCGCTGGCAACTTTTGCGCAAGGTAAGCGGAAAAGCTATGTCAAGAGCTTCGATATATCGGTAAGAACACATTTCCCTCAAGTCCTCATCTCATCTTCTTTTCTTCGGCCCACCTCATACAAGAGCAAACCCGACCAGGCCTAGAGCCTACATCAACGTCACGTCACCTACTTTGAATGTTTTTATGTCGATGTAGGCTGCAGACCTGGTTAGTCATTTTCTTATTTGACGTGAGCTGGCTACTCCAGCTCTCTGATCATGTTTGGGATCACGGCAATGTTCGTCGGTCCTGATACTCAGCGCAATAGCTTGCTGCAAAAGTTTCGTTTACGTCTCTTTATGGTAGAGAGACACCTTCCTACTTCTGCAACCCATCGCCACTGCTGTGGCTGGTGTTGATGTTGCTCCTGCCGCCGCCGCGTTTGCATCCGATGGCGCTTCCACAGGGTCCTCGTCTGTGCACTTCCCTCGCAAACACCATTTCTTCACCGACACCAACACTTGCATAGCCGGTCCCATTGTATGCATCCATCTACTTGTTAGCTTCTTGGAGCGAGAGCAGACTCACTTGGCATTGCACATCTAGCCGCCTTTCCCTTACCGGCTCCGTCTACGGACTCGCTGGCGGTCAAACAACAACAACACAAAACATCTCCGTCATGGCCTTGGCCTGATACCCCCACTGCAGCAACGCCAGCTACCCCAACAACACACCGCAAGCTTTTTTCACTCTTGGACACCCACCTTATCGTCTTGTATCTCTTGGCTCCTCCACCCTTGTATCGCAATCATAGCAGCTGCACTACTCGAGGACCTCCACCTTGACCACTGCAAGCCCTTACCCACAACATGGATTCCAGCTTCCATGGCCGCCCACCAACGCGGCGACGTGCGCTCGGTGACGGCACGAACCGCGCAAATGAGGGTCCACGCATCCAGCGCGGCAATGAAAAGCGACGCAACAGCTACGCGTCTTCGTCGCCTCATCCACTTCCCCACAACGAGTCTATAGTTCCGAATGGCACCCTTACAGTCAGTCATGAACAAGTCTCACCGGAGAACAAGCGTCTGTCCGCCGTTCAAGCCCACGAAGATCGTCCCCACAAGTCGAAGCGCGATTCGGAGATTTCCAACGCGAGCACCAACGCTTCCAGCTCGAACCGCCGACGCAAAACACATATTGGTCCATGGCAGCTGGGCAGAACTATTGGACGAGGTGGCTGCTCGCGTGTGCGGCTTGTCAGGCACAGCGTCACAGGGCAATATGGTGCTGCGAAGATCATCTCCAAGGCTACGGCCGAGAAGGTGCGCGCTCTGAGCTTGGCCAACCTCATCGCGGAGCAGGAATCGTCACTTTATCCCGACGGCAAGGTCATCCCATTTGGCCTGGAGCGCGAGATCTGCATCATGAAGCTGCTGGATCATGAGAATATTGTCCGCCTATATGACATCTGGGAGAACCGCGATGAGCTGTAAGTACACCACCCACAACAAACTACTTGTCTAACATGGTTCAGCTACCTCATAATGGAGTTCGTCGAAGGCGGCGAGTTGTTCAGCTACATCCACGAGCAGCATGGCTTGATCGAGATTCATGCCGTACATATCTTCCGTCAGATCATCGCAGCCCTAATCTACTGCCATCGTATCAATATCCATCATCGCGACCTCAAGCCCGAGAACATTCTGCTGGACAGAGATACCATGAACGTCAAGCTTGTCGACTTTGGCATGGCTGCGTTGCAGCCTATCGGCAAGAAGCTCACTACACCCTGCGGTAGCCCTCATTATGCAGCACCAGAGGTTATCAAGACTACATCATACGACGGAGGAAAGGCAGATGTATGGAGCTGTGGCGTCATACTCTTCGTCCTTCTTACCGGCACCCCTCCCTTCAACTATTCTGGCGATGAGCGCGATCTAAAGCACCTGTTTCGCGATATTGCCGCGGCGAAGTATGTCATGCCCGACAGCATCTCTAGAGAGGCCCAGGACCTCATCGGAAAGATACTCGTCGCTGATCCGAACCGTCGTATCTCTATCGATGAGATCTGGGATCACCCATTCTTGCGCAAGTATCAGCAAGAGCTGAATTTCGTGGGAGAGAATACCAACGTCGACCACTGGACTGGCCCCCTTCCTGCCATCGCCGAGTGGACGACTCTCGAACGTACTTCCGTTGACCGCGAGATATTGCGATACCTGCGTACACTCTGGCATAGTGAGAAGGAGGAGGCCCTGATCCAGAAGTTGTTGAGTAAAGAGTAAGTACCCTCCTTACTGGGTTCATGTGCATCTACTAATATCTGAAACAGGCCAAACCAAGAGAAGTACTTCTACTCTGCACTTCTGAAGTACCACACCGATCAATTGGAGAATTACCAACCGGACGCACACCATGTCGTAGCCCACTCCAACAGCGACCATCACCATAACACGCGACATTCACCCACGCGGAGGGACATGGAGGAGCTTCCGATCAACAGCAACGCTCACAAGCGCTCGCAGTCCACGTATTCGATTATGCATAATGAGCATCTATACTCGAAGCACAGCCTCTACGAGTCGCCTGTCTCTGAAGCTAGCTACGACCCATACCGAGCCTCGCGGCAGCCCATCGTTCCCATTCCCGAAGACGCTCCACTTAACCAGAATGTCACGGTTCATCGGGGACAGAGCGGTTGCAGCGAAAAGCTTCGTCCTACCACAGCTTTGAGACATCATACAGGAAACTCGTTACGCGTTCAAGCTCTGCGAAACAACTCTAAGCGTAGTTCCGCACTGTCCCGCGGCTCTTCACGAAGCACGCCTTCCAACCAGAGTACTCCATCTCATCGCGCTCCTTCGATACAGCGACGCTCCATGTCTCGTTCCTCTATCGCGAGCTCACACTGGCCTAGTAGCCCACCTGTTGCTGCTCGATCCGCTGGTATGGGTAAGCGAGGTGTGAGCTTTTCGCACCTGCGCGATCGTCGGACTTCAGCAGCGACAACTAGCAGTTGGCAGACCGAGGTTGGATCATGTGCCGACTACATGTCTCATAGACCCCATACGTCTATTGGGTCGTATGGTCCGTCTATCAAGACGAGCACGACTCGGTCAACTCCTAGACCAAGAGCTCGTATGAGCTCAGAGACACCGCGCTTGAAGCTTCGTAAGCCAGAGAGCCCTACCAAGTACATCCAGGGAGAGGCTCGGAAGGTCAGCATGGAGCTGGGTAAAGTCATGGAAGAGGCCTTCAACCGCTCTTCAGTCGGTTCGAGCGTTCGTTCAGATGCTTACCACGACGCCTCGCAATACGATAGCCCTCCGACGTCTTTCTCCAATACCCGCGACTCAGGTGGCAGTACTCTAGCCACTACCCCAGGTGCCAAGCTGCTCTTTGGAGAGCGGCCATTGCCACCAACTCCCGCCGAGACACCGACTACTTTCCTGCAGCGAAAGTTGGCGGAGACGCGTGCAGACATCGCCCGACGACGGAACGAGGATGACGATACCACTGAACATTTCAACGAGGTTCTTGAGCATCTCGATCGTTTGATGGTGCCTGGGGTTGGAGGCAAGCGTACAGTCTCTGCTCCAGCGAAGTCACCCGAGCGTAAACCGCTGCGCGCCATCCCGGAGGAAGTCAAGGCCGATAATGGGAATGGGTTTGATACCCATATTCCCCAACGTCGAGCTGTCACTGACCCCGTCAGGCCTCTTGGTCGTCGTGTGGTGACTGAGCAGCAGCAGACTATCCGCATCGTCGATGGATCGCCCACCCGTGTCGCGCCTCTGAACATCCGCAAGCGCAGTGGTGCAAGCTTGAAGACGAATGCGACTAACGAGGTGCCTGCCGTACCTTTGATTAGATCATATGAGAATGGACAGCACGATCTGCAAGCTCCACGTACGATCGATACCGCTCCTGTTCTCCAGAAGCAGAACACACTGCTCAAGAAAAAGAAGTCACTGTGGTTCCGTCGCAACACCGGTGAGCAGGAGCGTGATCAAGAGAACAAGGAGAATCAAGTCAAGAAGAAGCAGTCAAACACTCTCCTTCAGATCCCAGAGGCGTGGCAGGGTCTCGATGACCGCATCAAGGCTGATCGTGCACCATTCACGAACATTGAGAGCGAGAAGCTTGATCATAAGGGTGTAGATGGTAGCAGTGGAAGCGAATTCCCCATGCGCAACAGCAGTTCAGCTGCCACGAAGAGCGATGGTTCGACTCGCAAAGGCTTCTTCGCCTTCTTTGGGAAGAAGAAGGACGACAAGGGCAAGAAGCCAATGGAGCTAGGAGGTGAGCTCACTCTTTCTCACTTCTACTTCTGATCAAACACTTACATGCTTTTAGGACTCAACTTCAGCTCATCTTCGATTCTGTCCAACTTCGACATCAGCTCTGACAACAATAACGATACAGCTCGTACTGGTCCACCGGAAATGCAGATGAACTGGCTATCACGCTTCCTCCACATCAAGCCTGCCAGCAAGACGCTGTGCTTCCAGATCGGTCGTGGCAAAGTTCGTCAGGACCTTGTTCGCCTGCTGCGCGACTGGCAACGATTCGGCGTTCAAGATGTCTCACTGGATCGCGCATCAAACTCAATCAACGCACGCATTGATAAGAGCAACCGTAAGTGCCCACCACCCCGAGCGTGTCTTCTATTCAGCGGATAGCGTCTGCAACACTGGCGGTTCGAAGTGGAGATGCTCGAAGCCGAGCTTGTATGGCGATGTAATGCTGCGATTTACTTCTGCAACCAAAGAAAATACCTGCTAACCCTTTTCTCTCACAGACCTCAAGATCAAGCCCGTAACCTTCGTTATCGAGCTCTTCGTCGTACTCGAACACGGACGCCGCGCCAACCTCTGCCTCGCACGCTTCACGCAAACCCGTGGCGCCGCCTCCAGCTTCCGCAAGGTCGTCGATATTGTCGAGGACGTCTGCCGCGCTCGCTGCATGTTGGTTGAGGACGAGGAGAAGAGAGCTTCGATGATGGAGGTCTTGGACTAGGATACCAAGATGAAGAAACATGAAGATGATAATGATAATGACGGAGCGGGGTGTTTGGATACCAGATGGCATACTTCTTCCCTCTTGTGATTAGGGTTTAGGGGTTGTATTGTGCTTTGAGTCTGGGTATCTTGTTTGAATTAGGAGATGGGAGATTGGTGGATTGGTGAAGGCATGGGATCTTCTGAATACGATACAGATGGATACACTTTCACATGCTCTTGTGTGGGCGTGTGGATGGTCGATGGGATGATGTTGGTTTACTTGTACACGTATACTCCCTCCCGGCGCCGAAGATGACGTCTAATACGTAATAATAATAGTCGCTTCTGCGCTTACTATGATAGTTCCGTGCATGTGAAGGTAGATATATGGTGCTTTTGATGGGTATATGACCACTATGAACGGCATGCAGGAGGTACCTAGATACCATTCCTTTGACAGCCGAGCACTTGTTAGGCCGTCGTATGCGGAAGATCTGTACTCAGGATAGCAGCGGAGGACACGAAAACCTGTTGTAGACGTCTGTCAAGTCAATGGTAGTCGTATGATAGGGTAGGAGAAGACATTTATACTGCTGACTCATGAGGTTTCGCCACCTCTCTGCTTGCACTGATGTACATCACGGTGGTGTTGCTCATGTGAGTGTGTTACGCAGATGATATGACAGTACGTACATCGACATCAAGAGTACGGATGATAGGTGTCTTTTGCTATGTTCCAGGCGAGTAGAGTTCTCGAGATGTCAGACGTGGGATACGATAGAGAGCATGATGGCATCAGTCGCAGTAATACAAGCATTCGGTTCGGTTCTGTACATGTTGAGTAACTCGCCAGGATATCTGTATATGCCGCCGTTGTCTAGACTACTTCTTACAGGCAGGACCTGTAGAATGTCATACCATCCTGGCTGCTGCGGTGGTGCCTCACAATCCTGTCGTGCTATACATGCACATGTGAGTTCAAGCTCTTCCGGTGTTCGTGAGGACGTGGTATTGCATTTGCCCTATGGCGCCAGACGCTAATGTGGACAGTGTCCGGCACACCGATCCAAAAAGAGGTGAAGAAGCCATGATGCCATTCCATTCATTCCATTTTCCGTAGTATGTTTGTTCGGAAGAGAGATTCAGAGAGTAAAGGAACACCGAGTCATCCCGAAAAACCAGCCATAACCCAGACTATGCACGCCATATCGAACCCAGCTTAACGAGTCCTTGCCTGCACCTTTGGTGCGGCACCCTTGGCACCCTGCTTGCTGACCTTGGCGGCGTTGCCTCGTGCGGACGCGGCGGCGTTCTTGGCCTTCTCAGCCTTCTTTGCCGACTCGGCGGCGGCCTTCTTCTCCTTGCCCTCCTTGATGGCAGCGGTGCGGGCGGCGGTACGGGCCTCGGGACGTTGGCTGCGGCGCTCCTTGATTACGTCGAGCGAGGCACCGACGATGGCACGCTGGTGCTTGACTGTGCGGCGGGTACGCTTCTTGGCGACTTCCTGTTGGAGAGATGGTGGTTAGCGCAGTCCTTGATGAGGTGATAGAGATGTATGTTGCGATGAGAGTAACACCGCCGCTGGGATGTTTGCCATGCCCAAGTCTGTCCGCAGTACAGACTGATGTCATAGTTCACTGTCTCTCAAACATGTCCCAGCGGCGTGCATATGAATTCGCGGCGACTAACCTCAGAGATACCCTTCTTGTGCGCCCTTCGGTAGAGAGTGGTCCAGTGAATCTTGCGAGGGTTCTTGCGCTGGAGGAAAAGGGACTCGGTCTTTCCGTTCTGGAAGCGGAAGATCTTGCTGTCACCACGGATGTAGAGCTTGCCCTGTTTATGCCATCAGCGAATGTCCGACCCTTTGTAGTGTTCCATCCTCGTCCGCCACGTGTTCGCGTTGTCGCCGTCGCGATGGCGGGATTTCGACTTCTGAGGGGCGAGCGGCGGGACGTGGAGGGGCAATGTAACGCACCTTGCCCGGGTAGATCTTTTGACCGCTGAAGGAATCGTCGTAGGTACGCATGTTGGCGGTGTTGGCGTGATACCTGTGTGTTAGTCGTGGGGTTGTCGTCGGTCGCGAATTCAATATTGCAACTCCGGAAGAGACCTGTGGGCGGGCTAAGCCTGGGCAGGCTAGCTTCTTGGCGCTGGCGCGGTGGCTGGTGCTCACCAAACGCTGTTCACCCACACACACCGCGATGCAACTTCAACGCGGCAGTAATTCTTCATTGCAAAGTGCGCAGTGGTACTTCTGGATTCTAGGCACCTGTCAATTACTTTTACGCATTCGTACGAGAGCTGCAAATCCACCTTTCTTGTCGCATTTAGTCTTACGGCCGCCTTCACAGCAATCACTCACCACGAGCGAATGCATTCTCTTTCTCCGTCGCCGGAATCATTGCCGATGAGTCCTGAATCATCTGATAGTTACCCAGATGTATTTTCCAGTTCTTTCTCCACAACTGCAAGTCACGAATACGCCCAGGCTATTGGAGTCGTTCCACCTCAACCAGCGCGGACTGCATAACACTTGGAGCGCGGCGTATGAGTGCGGCGGACAGAGTGAAAAATGAATCAGGCATAAGCGCAAACGCCGTAAGAGGCCCACGGGTGTCGTCATAGGCGCTGCTACTATCGTGAGGGAGGTGCATCACTAGGATTTCGACGTCATCTTTGACAGCTCCGTATATTGAGAAGGCAGTCGGATGTTGTTATGCTAACGTGATCAAGCTGATAAAGCTGATGCATACAGAAAGAGCCATTGTGAAAACAGCTCGAGAAGGTTTGTCACTACCGGATTCGTCAGACCGCAATACTGTGGGTGGTAAGACCATCGAAAGACCATCGAAGCAGCCAGCAACACCCCCATCACACCGCAGGTTTAGCAGAGAAACGAGTGAAACAGCTCGTGAGGAATATTCGGTACTGGTTGCACCGAGGGCTCTCCGTTTGTCTTGTTAGGCCTGGAATACTCATGAACTTACAGCCCAATATGGTTCCAATCACCGAGTACATTTAAGACTTCATCAAGATCAGCAACAACAAAATTCTTTCCGATATTACTTGTTATGGATCCTTCATCACACAAAGTTTCGGTTGCGTCCGCCGGCTCCGGTATGCAGTTGCGAGAGCACGGCGATACAGCGTTTGATCCGACAACGCATCGTCTTGTCACTGCACCGACGACACGGTCTGCACGAGCAAATCCAGCTGTATTCACTTCAACCCTACACGACCAAGACCTGGTAGACGTCATGGCTGAGCTTGAACGTCATCAATCTGATCACCGAGCGGCCTTCGCCTTCGACATGGCCCAAGGCGGCCGTATCCATCCGTTGAACGAGGACGAGCTAAGACACTTCCGCAAAGAAAGGGATGGTGTCTTTGGTCCATCTCAGTGGGACACGCCGAACCTTAACGGAGAGTTGCCGTTCACGTTCACGTCGCTACCCAGCCCTGCGACAGTCGAAAAAGCGATCAAAAGCGACATTGGAGGTGAGAATCACTTCCGTTTTGCACCTTCGCGTGGCTCGCCAGAAGACGATGCAAATGCTGTTATGAACTTGCTCGACAACATCGGTAATCCGAGGTACTCTGAGCCTGGCGCGGTTGTCCATATGCAGTCGCCTACCTTCAACCAGAAGAAGCGCTGGATAACAGGATGGGAAGGGGACGGTGTACTGGGTCAGTCAGAGTTCCAGATGACTGTTGCTCCAGCAGGCGAGGTATTCGAGTTGGAGTACTACGAACACCACTTTTCCACGACGCTGTTGACCGGCTCGAAAGTATGGTTCACCTTTCCTCCGCTGCAAGCCAATCTAGACCTGCTCCGTAAAGCGTACGAATGTATGCATGACAGCGACAGCTCACACGTCCCTCTGGGTGTTCTTTCGGAAATGCAACACGGCATTGCAATCATTCAAAAGCCAGGACAGACCCTCCTGCTCCCACCATACTGGTCCCACATGATATTCTGTACCGAGACATCAACATCGTGTAGTTTCTCTTTAGCAATCGCGGCGCAATTCATGTACCGCATCAAGCACATGGATCTGTGGGTCAGCCACAATCTCTTCTGGGACACAGGAGAACAGCTACAATCCCACCTCGTGCGCTATGCCTCAGAACTCGCAACTCATTTCGCGACCATTATGACGGGCGATCTCAAGCGCTTCAAAGTGGCCCCTGTGCAGAACCAGATATGCAGCGAATGGGTCAAGACTGGGCCGAAAGAGGCCGCAGAGTTTGAGAACATGAAAGAGAAGATTGGCGTACTTTTGTCATTGATCGAAGACGAGGACGCGAGAGAAAGAATAGATGATGAGATCCGACACGCGTGGATTGAGTTCATGGAGGAGAAGCGCAAGAAGAGGCCAGAATGCCGGCTATGTCGCGTACGTATCGAGCACATGCCAGCGGGAGAGACACCAGATGAACGGCTGGCACGACATGTCACCGACGTGCACTGCTCGTACGAGGAGTAATCATTTCGACATGTCCGTCACAGCGAGAGGTGCACTACTTTGGTGCATCAAATTTTGAAGGTCATATTCTTATTCCCGGGACGTTCCACAACTGTCATGGAAGAACTCAAATACGCCGCCCGCCCATCTCACGCCACTATCATTCACTATTAACATAAAGACCCACGTCGCACAATTGCGAGTCAAGTCGTCGCAGCCGCGCAACCACAGTGAGGGAGAAGAGCATCGGATCGGTCCCTGCCATCCGACACTAAACCGCCCGGCCCGGCCGCCGTCTTCACCCACCAAGCCCAAACAGGTCTAACAAGCGGAAACGACCCACGACTTGAGCTCATGCCCCCGCACACTACACCCTGAAATCTTTTGCCTCCGATGAACTAGACCGCCGCCATTCTGGCAGCTAGAATGCGCCATTGTCAGCAATCGATACTTTGGTCCAAAGCTGAGCTGCGGCTGAAGAAATTTCCTGGAGTCTGAATGGAAGGCCTGATCTACGACCGAGGTTCGGCTCGTACCTGCAGACGAAAGATGCAGAAGTGGAGAAGGCATTGGACATGTTCTAGGTCGGAGGGGATGACCAAATCGGGTACCTATATAAGCAGAGCATGTAATGAACGAACGGGACGGCAGAGAAGAAGATATTACAACACGAATCTCAAATTTACCTATTAGTCGACCATTTCTACACGCGTCCTACCCACCTACCCACATCTCCAAAACCTCCATTAGGGACGATCGAAAAAATAAACATCACTATCGACAAAGCCTGTCTTACCTCCCCTACCCATGCCTAAAATGCGTTTCCTCTCCACCCTCCTGAGCACAACCCTCAGCCTCCTCACCCTCACCTCCGCCGCCGCAACAATGAACACCACAAACGGCATGGGCACCACACCCTCCCAACGCTACGTCATCTCCGCCTCGCAAGCACAAACCGTCATCTCCGCCGCCGTCTCCAACGCTACATCCCTCCAGATCCCCGAGAACATCGCTATCGTAGATCCTTCCGGCCTACTCGTCGCTTTCCACCGCATGGACAACGCATTCATCGGCTCCATCGACATTTCGCAGAAGAAGGCTAGGACGGCTGTGCTGTTCAATGGGTTGTATGCTAGTGCGGATTTGTATGCGGCGGTGCAGCCGGGTGCGCCGCTTTATGATGTGCAGAATACGAATGGTGGGTTGATCGCTTTCGGGGGCGGGATACCGATTTACCTTGAGGGAAAGTTGATTGGGGGTGTGGGTGTTAGTGGGGGAAGTATAGAGCAGGATTTGAGTGTTGCGAATGCGGGTGTGGAGGCTTTGGGGGCGAGCACGAAGGCATAGGTCAAAGAAATGGTCGTAGAGGAATGTATTCGAATTTTAGGTCGCTAGTAAAGATACTGTGACAATGATTTCATCGCCCATGCCTCACCCCGTCTCACACTGTGACAACGACACACCCGCCCTCAGCTTGCATTCCCACTATCCTCTCTCTTCTGGCGCTTAGTCCCTCGCTCAGGTGATTGTGGAAACCCTCCCCCAAGCCGCTGCAGATCTCCATTCCGCCGCACTTCCTCCGCAAAGATGAATCTGCCAAATGCATATCAGCACGTCAGACTTGTAGGAAGTTACCTCATGAGCTCATACGTCTGGCTCCGCTCCATGCCCTCTATCGCGTCTTTGGCATCAATCCTTGTCTGCTCCTTGACACCCTCCATAGTTGCAATCGCTGCGAATCGATCCTTCCAGAGTGCCCATCTTTCTTTGCTGAACTCGCTTTTGCCCTTCCAAAGTTCGCCCCCGCGGGCTGGGTTGCCTTGCTTTTTGTCGGTGGGTGTGAGATCTTTTTCCATGCGGAAGAGGTCGTGGCCGTAGCCTAATATCCAAGCTGCGGCTGCGGGAACGTTGGCGTCGTACTTTTGGTTGGCTGTCGACATCGGTTCGTCAACTGGAGGTGTCTCGAGAGCTTCTCGTAGCGCGAAGATGGCGTACATCGAGAGATCTTGGATATCATTTCTTGCCGCCAAGGCGAAGAAGTAGTTCATGTTCGTCCAAGCTTCTACCTCCCTCTCGATGTAGCCTTCGTGAGCGACGGGCGCGTCGTTGTAAGCTTCACGACAGGCCATGCCAAAGTCGGTCATTTCCTTGTAGAGATAGTCGTACTCCTTCTTGTCCGGTATTGAGTGCTTCTTGAACGCGGTGAGTAGATCGATGAGTTGGTTGTGCTGTGTCCGGGCGCCATCGCGGAATGTTGATCGTCTTGCTGAGTGGATGATGCTGTTCCATAGATCCATGAAGTCCACGTCGTCTAGCTTGGCCTCTTTAATCTTCTCATCGATGGGATCGAGAATGCGCGACGTCGCTTCTTTCACGTCGATCTTCTCGTTGAGATAGTTTTGTACCACCTGGTAGTACGCGCTGTCTTCCTTTGGACGGAACCATCCTCTTATCTTTGCAATCTGGTCGATCTGGTCTGCCTCGTTCTGAAGGGTTGGGAGGATATCCTGGATCCTTTGGTTTTGTTGCTAGAACAGAATATTAATTATGAGCTAAAATGAAATCATTATGAGCAAATACCGCTATGCGAGCCATGATTCTGATCGGTGGAGCGAGACGTGGTGCGCTTAGGCTGGTGGGATGAGACAAAGGTACACGGTGTTTCCTTCTAGTGATGTCATACCCGGCGGTACCACGGTCAGTGCTACTAATCCCACGTGTATGCCTCGTTAAGGCAGCTGGTGACCTGTGCCGGACCAGTCGAAGTACGCTATGAGGCATCCCTTTCTGAAAGTGGATACACACGGCCAGTTTGTCGTGATAGGCGCGGAGCATCGTCCGCGTAACGGAAGGTAGGCGTTCGGTTGGCTGGAAAGGTGCATGGTACAAGAGCAGCTGTTACACCTTTAGCAACCACGCCTATAGTATAGCCGATCAGCGCTACGATCGTTATTTGAGGTGCGATGATCAGGATCGGAGCAGGAAGTCTCAAGAGAAGCTGATCGCCGAACGTGTGGGTGATCAACCCGAAGCTGTCGGTAAACAAGGGTCATCGGAATGCCGGGAACGGGCTTCCCGCAGCCTTGGAACGTGTCTTTGCCCGCAGGGCACATCGCACCTCAGTGATAAGGCAGGCGTTCAGAATATTTCTATCGCAAGGTTTGATGGACTTCGACCACCGGCATGGGATCCACGGCCATGTCACGAAGCCAGCAACGCATTAGCATCACAATGGACCCTGAAGGTATTCGCTAGTCCGTAAGTACCACCTGGGCACGTCAAAAGATTGATGTATCCCTCAAACTTATCCTACAGCTTCGCACCCCTCTCCTTCGCAGCGAGAGCCCTCAGATCCTTTCTAAGTATCTTCCCCGCGGGACTTTTCGGGACCTCGTCTAAGAATACAACACCTCCTCTCAGCTGTTTATGCCCAGCAACCTTCCCTTTGACGAATTCAACAATTTTTTCCGACGCAATCTTACTCTTATCAGCGACAACGTATGCTCTTGGCACCTCATTTGTCCCATCATCCGTCAGCACCCCAATAACTGCAGCATCCAGGACCAGCGGGTGGCTAAGCAGCACAGCTTCCAACTCCGCCGGCGCGACCTGTAGCCCCTTGTACTTAATCAACTCCTTCTTCCTGTCCTGCAAAGATAGAGGTACGAAGTCAGTATATGCCTCACATGCATTGCGTCCAGCCCCGACTTACCACGATATAGAACATCCCATCCCTAAACACCGCGATGTCACCCGTATGAAACCAGCCATCATGGGTGAAAGCCTCTCTATCCGCCTCTTCATTCCGATAATACCCCTTACAAACCACGGGCCCTTTCACCAGCACCTCTCCCGGAGTTCCTAACTCAACGTCTTCACCATCGTCATCAACAAGCCTAGCCCGCATATTCGGCAACAACATAGCCACACTCCCCGTATCATCCCGCATCCCAGGCGTCATAATCGTCGCACTCCCCGTCGTCTCACTTAAGCCCCAGGTCTGATCCACAAAACACTCCTCACCCCCAAGTTTCTGACTAGCTGCATACTGAAGCTCTCTTCCTAGTGGCGCGGCTCCCGAAACACAGAATTCCAGGGAGGCGAATTGGGTCGTTGCTAGGGGACTTTTGGCGATTAGCAAAAGGATGGGGGGAACGGTGAAGAAGAAGGTTATGGCGTAGCGGGCGTTGTAGGAGAGGAAGGATGGGAAGTCGAAGCGCGGCATCCAGTATACGGTTCCGCCGAGGTAGAAGGGGTTTATCAGGTAGCCTTGTACGCCGGCTATGTGGGCGGTGGGGAGGTCTGGTGGGGGATGGGATGTCAGCGTACATTCATCTTAACTTGCCAATATCGTATGAGGAAGCATAACTTACGGGCGACCGTGCGGTATTCAAAATCCGGCCTTTTCTCTTTCACCCACGCTTTCATCATATCCCCCGTACTAACCGTCTGGCTCACAGTATTCCGGTGTGAAAGCTTTACTCCCTTGGGTAGCCCAGTCGTCCCGGAGCTATAAATCAGTACTATCAGGCTCTCGTCCAGCTCTTTCCTATCCGTGATCCGCGTCCACGGCAGTAAATCTCTTTCATCAATGATGTCCTTCCCCAGCCTCCCATCTTCACCAACAACTTTCAACGTCCACTCCCTCCCCTCACTCATAAGCAGTACGCGCCCGCCTCCACCCTGACCCCACCCCGCGTCCTCTGCAGCTCTGATCGTAGTCTCCAGGGTAGCTTGACAGGTCACAATAATCTTCGAGCTGGCACCTTGTAGTTGCTTGGCTAGTTCGCTGGCCGTGCTTGCCGCGGAAGCAGCGGAGAAGATACCGCCTGCGCCGATGATTCCATACGCGAGAACAGGGAGGAGATAGTGCCCTGTTGAGATAACGGAGCACACGTCTTTTCCTGGGCCATGGGCGCCGATGCCATAGTGTTTGCGGAGGGCGGCTGAGGTGGCTTGGGTTAGGTAGCGGGCGCGCGATGTTGTTAGGATTAGGCTTGGGTCTGCGGCTGAGACGTGGAGGGGGGTGTTTGGTTTGGCTAGACTGTGTTCGGAGTCTACAAGGAGATGTGTTGTTAGTTGAGGAGGTTTTTGGGGTGGTGTTAGGTGCTTTCGGGGTGGTGGGCATACCGAACAGAAGCGTTAGTACATCGAGGTCAGGTATCGGGTAGCTTTTCTCGGATCGATAGATGATTCCATCGGCCGTCTTGTCTACAACGGTAGCCATATTACTGCGAGGTTCCTTCCTATGGAAACACAACGTGTGCGAATTCAACTAATGAAGCCCGACGAACGAAGCAGAAATGGCCACTACGGTCAATGGTACCACAAGATGTTATTCTCGTGTATTCGGCTTTATGTACTCTAGCTAGAGTAGACGCACAATCGCCCTCTCATAGCGACGCGTTTCCTCGGCTCCCTCATTCCAGTCTGGATTGGCTGCCGATCCATCTGTGGCTTCGGCAAGTCTGGTATGTCAGTACTAGCGAGTAAGCGGGGTAAGTCGGGGTAATCAACAGTGGCCGTACTACTGGGCGCAATCGTGAGGCTATTCGATCTTGACTTATCAGATCACTGGTGAAGGCGTCCAAGGCTAGCTCGCGATTTGCGAGTCCTTGCGCCGTGAACGTGGGTAGGTCATGATACGAGCGTGGTCTTTCAACCTCTGCGTTTTGCACTCGGCTCATCATAGGCACCTTCAGCATCATCTCCATCGGCGTCGTCTCCACCAGCAGGTTTGTTGGCCTTCTTTGGTTTTCGTCGCTTCCGCTTGTGCTTGACGGGTGGTTCTTCTGCAGCCGCAGTAATCTCCATCGGTACTTCTTCTGGTTTTCGCGATGTGACCTGGGCGGTCTTTTCACCAGGAGCTTTGGTTGCATACGCCATCGGAAGCACTGCTGGTCGTGCGATTGGAGGCAGTTCGCTCTCGTCGACGATATTCTTGCGCATTCCTCTAGGGTTCTCTGCCTTAAGCAACGCAACGTATTCAGCGGTGCGTTTGGTATGCTCAACCTTGGTCATTATCTTCCAATTTTCGGGCTTGTCTGCTTCTCTCCACTTTTGCCAAACATCTTCGTGCATCACACTTCCGCTAAGGACAACGAAAGCGCAGCTGTTCCACAGTGTATGAACTGCTTGTATGGGTAGCCACTTAGGCCGCAACTCGCCATGCTCCGCAAGCCAGTATGCGACCTTTGCTGGCGTGGGACAGATGTTGCGTAGATGTGGCTCGACGTAGATTGTGCGCTGGTCCCAGAATGCTAGGCCGTCGTCATCGGTGACTTCGAACGAGTTGTGTGGTAGGTATTTGGGAGGGTATGAAGAGGGCTTGCGACGGACGTGGTAGCCATTGCTCGAGAGCTCTAGCATCTTGGAGGGGTGGTCGCGGAGTGCTTGCTGAAGGAGGATCTGAGAGGCTTCGGGCTTCAGCGAGGAGATATTGGGGTGTTCGAGGATGGCGGTGAGGTGGATGTCTGTGTAGCAGGTCAATTATGGGGGAGGACATAGACTTGGGTATGTATACAGTTATCCTCGCCATCAACGGTTCTGTAACGGTCGTGCAGCCACCTGGCCCGCTGCTCTTCCTGGTGGGCATAGTCGGTGAAGATGAGCTCGATGCCAGCAGCAAGCTGGCCTATGTACTCTGGCGTGACAGGCTTGGTAGTAAATCTTGGACCAGGCTTGGAGGCTTTGAGGTCAGTCTGTTCTGGCTGGTCAGTAGGTGAGCTGGTTCTTGTCTTCTGCATCGCCTCGACCAGCGCATCGTCTTGGTCGCCTTCAGCTGGCGCTTTAGAGGGAGCTTGGGCAGGCTTGGGCCGCGGCTTCTCGCGGACGCCCTTGAGCCTGAGCGCTCTGGGAATGAACATGATGCTAGTAACCTGCTCTCGTGGCGGGGAGAGTTGGCAGCAACTGATGTCGCCAAGGAAGTTCGAGTGCCATCGCAGACCAGATTCGCGACGCGCCGCGGCTCAAGCACGGACCTACGTCAGTCCCCAGAATCTCAATTTCCGTACAGCGCTGTCGACCAACGACCTCACAAACCTCCTTCAAACCCGATTCTGCCTTCGACCGCCAAGATGGCCAAAGAGAAGAACTACAACCCCGTGCAAGAAGCCAAAAAGGCCGAGAAGCAGAAGCAGATCCGCAAGCAAAAAGCCAACCTCCAGACGCAGCGCAACGAGAAACTCGCGCGCCGAAACCCCAATCGCATACAACGCGACATTGACAACCTCAAAGAACTCGACCAGAGCGGCGCAATACGGCCACATGAGCGACAACGGCTACAGGAGTTGGAGAAGGATCTCGCCGCTGTCAACAAGGCGCGCGCAGCACTCGGCGACAAAGCGCCCGTCTTCAAGCCAGAGCGGCAATACAACAACGACGACAGAGGGCGGGGAGGCGACCGAGGAGGCAGAGGCGGCGGTGTTCTAGGCAAGCGATCGCGCGACGGACAGCGCAAAGACGACGACAGCAGCGACACGGACGACGACGTGAAGCGCATCCCCATGCCGCGCGACACACCGCCGCCCATACCACGGAAATACCTACCCCAAGACCCGCAAGACGAAGCCGCTGCGCCCGCCGAGCCCAAGAAACCCACCATCGTCTACGAAGCCGCACCCCAGGTCCGCGATCTGCGCAAGGAAGCAACAAGATTCATGCCTGCGTCTGTGGCGCAGAAGGTCAAGCTGGCAAAGGGCGAGGGCCGGTTACTCGAACCCGATGAGTTTGACAAGTTGCGGGAAGGAGGGTATATGAATGAGGGGAAGAAGAAGGATGACACGGAAGAAGGTGCTGAGAAGGTCCCACGAACAGCTGAGGATGAAGAGCTGGATGCTTTCTTGAGGGTACAGAATACGTCAGCTGGAGCTATGGCAGAGCAAGTTGCTGAGGCTGCGGTGCAGGAAGCAGAGTACAAGATGATGGCTGCTGAGGCCAAGGGGCAGATGGAGGGTATATCTGATGAGGCCAAGACGGCGGAGAATACACTCAGGCATGTGCAGATGGAGGAGGTGGAAGATGAAGATTTATAGTTCAAGCCAGGACTTCTAATCATAATATGGATGAGTTCCATCTACACATCTCTCGTATTCCCTTGGACTCACATTATGCTTGTAGTCATGCGACCCCAGGGTAAGTGTTGCTGGTGGAAGGTCGAGTCAAGTCCCAACTGAGGGTTTACGAAGGCATGAGAAGTCAGTCTACCCACAGTCGATGTCTAGTCTGATTGTCAGAAACAACGACTGGCATTTCACAGCAGAAGACAGATTGTTGATCATTGTTATTTCATTCATGGTAGGGTATATAGATATGCGGCTTTCACGCCGAAAGGGTATGTTCCATCCATCGCAGTATCATGTTCGTCCATTCTCAGGTCTTCATGGTCGTAAAAGAGGAGGAGGTATCGTGGCTACCAGGCAACAGCAAGAAGGAAGCGAGTGCTTTACTTCTTCTGGCCAGTGGCACCGGAGAGGGTGTCGGAGATGCTCTGGCCAGCGTTGCCGAGAGCGTCCTGAGCTTGCTTCATGACACCCTGGCCCTGGGAGGAGGCATCGTCGCCGCCTGAGCGGGTGGCGTCACCGAGCTTCTGTCCGGTGGACTTCTGGCCCTCTGGTATGTAATGTTAGTTGATGGTCGGGTGGTAAGTGATGAGTGGTGGAAGAGACGTACCAGGCTGGACCATACCGGCAACGCGGTCACCGGCGCCAGTGAGGCTCTCGCTGGCCTTCTCGGTGGTGGACTTCTGGGAGTCGGGGGTCACTGAGAGATTGTCAGATGCTGCACTGAAGTTGGGTGAAGATAGTAAGCTTACTCTTCTCGGAGGCTTGCTCGCCGAGACCCTTGCGCATGTTGTCAGACATGTTGATTGTTGGTGGTTGGTTGGTTGAGGGTTGAAAGTGGTAGTTGTAGTTGAGTTGATTGGAGTTGAGTGTGATGAAGGTTCGAGGAAAGAGAAGCAGAAGCAGTCTTATATACTACCCTTCAGCATCGTCCAGGCTGCAGTGACGTGCTACGAAACCCGTACGTCATCCCTTGTGAGGCAGCCGTAGCCGCAAAGGGTGTGGGTGAGAGAGGGCAGCAGCAGGCGTGCTGTGTACTCAGTGGGCCCTGTTACTTGCTCCTTCACATGTACGGTTGGCAGGGTCTACAGGGGTTCCTGCCAGGATGTATACCAGTTTGCAGACGCCACAGCCCGCCACGATAGGTAGATCAGCACTTCCGCTAGGTATGATTGATGGTAATCTGGCGCCTTTGCATGGCATTCGCGTCATCTGGCCACGGCTTAAGGTGGGTACGGGTTCCAGATCTTCTGCCGCGGGACGAACACTGCCCCGCTACGAGTGAGATATGCTGTCCAAGTTGGATAGAGGGGCATGTGCTGCCGCGGCTCCCCCTCTCTCGCAAATGCTTTTTACTCTGGATAGTTGGTAGCGTAGCAGAGATATAGTTGGTAGCGTTGGGTTAGCATCAGTTCTTTCTTGGAAACGGTAGACTATCCCCTCGCCCTACTTCTAGCTCACAGCCATACTCCGGAGAAGGAGCCGCTGTTTGCCAACATCGGGTACGCGAACAGTGGGAGGGTTTAGTGGGGCAGTACCCCGCTGACGTAGCTCAGAGGCACGAGGAAGTCGCGCAGCACGTGACCTGCATCATCACCACCTCACACTAATCCCAATCCATCACTCACCACACCGCGCGCTGCGCGTGCAAACATCCTACAGACATCAACACGTCCCAACATCTGCATTTCGGCTGAACGGCGGCAGTCGACCTCACGCGTACAGCGCGCATAGTGGACGGCGTTGCTAATTCTGGCCTTTTGCCGCTGAGCGAAAACTTGTTTGACATCTGTCGCAACCTATCCACTTTTCATCTCGTCAACGTCGTCAATGTGACGACCCATCGCTTGGGCGATTGGAAGCTGTGCATATCCTGCGCACAACTCCGATCATGTACTCAGTGTACTAAGCGGGCCGTTGTCCGTCGCTGAGCTCTGCGCTGTCTGCTGTGAACCTTGGCTGATCTCACAGCGTCCGTGGCGAGGCTGAGTCCTGCCAACATCGCGTCCATAGGTACCACCACAACAGCAAGACAGCAACAAGAAGCGGGAGAAGGGTTGACCTATTTCCGGCTGCAGCTACGGCCTCGAATCACTATCGGAGAACTGGCCCTTGTCTGCACGGCGAGGTCTGCGGTCTCACCAGGCCGGCCGCAGTCACCCTTGGGCCGAACCCGCGCACAACTCAGATAACGCCGGCTATAGTGTACTCCTATAGCTGATACCAATAGCGCCCTCTGAACGCGATCGCCAGCATGATGCCAGCATGGTCAGCAGTCGGAAGTGCGACCGTCGAATGGTCAATGAAAGCTGCCCAGGAGGCCTGACAGCCACATTCGATAGCCAACAACAACGTTCGACCATTGTCTTATACGGGTCGCATGCATTCGAGTCTTACCGCACGACTTGGAGTCGTCTCTCAACTGTGCCGTCGGCGTCGCGCGATATCCTCAGGAAGGGCTCGCCGTTACACGCGATGCTCCTGAGCGAACTCCCCGGGTCGGCAAGGCTGGACAACGCTTCACAAGCCACGAAAGGGCCCCTGTGCCACAGGCGACCTAACCAAACAGGCGATATTTCAGATATACAACCAATCAACCTTCAATCTCCCATATCTGCCTTACCAATAGGTATACCCAGCGTCTGTTCCCCGTGTTTCAGATCGGATCCGCTCTAGCGCTTTCCTAGACAGTAGTCGCTTCATGATAGGGTCCGCGTCGATCAGGCTCCGACAAACCTAATTTTACTTACCGCTGCACAGTACCAAACCTCACCGTTTGGTGTATGGACATGCCCTCTATCACAGTCATTGACTCGTCGACGGCTCTCGCCCGCATGAGTCTCCATGCCTGACAATCCGCAAGGCCGCCTGGCTAGCTGTGCCACAGGCTCTAACAATAGCTCAAGCACAGTAATGGCAGGGATGACTTTATGCGGCAGAGAATGCCATAGGTACATTCGATATGTCGAACAGGTTTGCTTGTGTACAGTATTCTCTTGGAGTTCTCGGCGTTATCTGCACTGCCGTGACTAGGATCGAACTCACACGCCAGCCTACAGTCCGGTTCCTTGATACATCTGCCTGAACTTTCGAAGTCGAGGTCGCTTCGGTCAATGTCACAGCGTCTGGGGAAAACATAAAACACAGAGCGGTTCGCCTCCGTTGGTTGCCACTTCCTTATCAAGCCAGCATCCTCTCATTGAGCTCGAAGCGACTCAGTAATCCCTATTGTCACTATTGCTTAATCCACCATGAAGTACCTTACAGCGCTGTTGATACCTCTCCTCTACTGTACTCCTACATACGCAGACTTTGCCGACGACGCATTCTCAGCGATAAAAACTCTACAAGAAAAATGGTACAACTCTGATACTGGTTTATGGTACGTCGCAGTCCACTCTCACAATGGCCAAATCTAATCTCTACCAGGAACGACTTATGGTGGCAGTCTGGCAACATTATCGAGACCGTCGCGCGCTTCGGTATTCAGGATGCCGACTTCAAGGAGCACGCCATTAACATCGTCTCCACCACATACGCCAAATCGTCTCAACAGCACGGGGCAGATGGGTGGAAGAACAAGTTCTACGATGACGAGGGGTGGTGGGCCATGGGCTGGATAGCCTCATACGATCTTACCGGCGACCAGAAGTACCTCGATACAGCCAGAGACATCTTCGCCGACATGACTACAGGCTGGGACGGCAATCGGTGTGGCGGCGGCCTATGGTGGTCCAAAGACCGTGACTACATTGCTGCCATCTCAAACGAACTCTTCTTATCCGTTGCTGCCCATCTGGCAAACC